CCATTTTGTGGAGAGAAGGGAAATGAATGAGTTGACTTTTTTCTAGTTTGGGGAGAGCGAAGGTAGTGGTTTTGGCTGCTGATGCCTTACAGAGTCCCTTTAGAAAGCTACAGTTTCCAAACTGTGTAAGGGAGTTTAGAAACATACAGAGTTTACCAGTAGCCACCAAATCTTTTACTTCAAGGGATTTTTGCTCCTAACATTTATCTTTTAGGTGAACTTTTTCAAATGAAAAATGTGTTTTTGTTTTGTGCAGTGTCCCTGCACCTCAAAGGTCTGAGGGTGATCGTCTGATGGAAACCGTAGTGACGGAAAATAATAACTACGCAGAAGTACCGCCTGTTAATGACTCTTCTCTTACAAAGCTGGATAAAGTTCTGGAGAGTCAATTCTCTAGACAAAATGAGGGGTTGAATAATAAAAAATGCGAAGAGGATAACAGGCAAAAATACGAGGAGAAGATACACGACTCCAAAAAAACTGACAAAGAGCACTGCCGAAAGAAGAGACAATACTCTGACATTGACGAGGAGAAGCAAAGCAGGAGCAAAGTGGATGATTGTTCCTGCAAAAGGAGGTGCTCTCACAGAATGGAAACAAATCAGCAATATCATGCTAAGCAGGACTATTGCAATGAAGGCAAGTACAGACCTTCCTATAATGAAAGAAACAGTCCAAATAATGGCAAAATCTGAGGAAAATACTCTCGTTACAGATTCCGAAGCAGAGAAAGAACGGAACAAGACAGGAATCAGTATTATCGTTCCAAAGGAGAGAGAACCTGGAGCATGGAAACATACCGTCGAAGCACGGAGTTGGGAAAAATGCAGATATTACAAGACTTATGACTCTGTCCATAGAAAAGGAGATGGTAGAGAGAGGAAGTCCTTTCATTTTGATAAAGCCTTTCATAAATTGAGTCAGTTCTACAAATCACGTAGGCATTATCACTGCAAGAGCAGATGGGCTCACAACACTCACTGCAGAGAGGAAGGATGGCATCACTTGAGCAGCCACAGCGGAAACTTCCGTCATTGTTCACTACCTCTGCAGCAGTCTGAAAAACACTCTCGGGAAGGGCACGCACCTCCACCTGCCTCAGCTCATGCACAATTTGACAACTCTTTCTGGGAAAATGAGAAACTGAGGCTTGGCAAGAGGAAATATGGCAACGCAGAAGGAAGAGAAGGTGAACTGGAAAAGAAATGCCGCAAGATAGATGATAAATACCAAGAGAAGGATTACAAGTAAGCAGGAATTCCAGCATAATCCGCCATTCTTTTCCTAACTCTTTTCTGAATGTTTCCCATGCCTGCCTTTTTCCCATTGTTTCTAAGTGATTTATATAGGATAATCTGACTACGGGTTGGTCATTGGGCTGGTCATTAGGTTGGTCAAGCAAACATAGGAGGGATGTTGCTGAATAGCATTAGAATGCTAGATCTGGAGCACAAAGCGAAGAACCTGTCGTGGTTTAATCCCAGCCTGCTGAACGAAGGACAGAACCACATCTGCGCAATGTTCTTGATTAGGTTACCTTAGATTAGCCACCTTCTCGAGTCTGTCGGATCCTGTAATCACAGGGCAGACGGAGCTGCATGCAGGCTTGAGACTTCTCGTTCAGAAACCAAACCACTGAGACAGGGTTTGATGCTGAATGTCATGCCAGGGAGCGACATTGCTTTCTTTTGTCTTTCAGATGCAAAGCTCACTGATGGAATCCTTCAGTGCCTGAACTAAACCTACCAACAAAACCAACTACTTCTTACCATCAAAACTGAGTCTTTACCATCAATCCTGATGGTTTACCATCGAACCTGGCTGTTTACCATCAAGAATGACTCTTTACCATCAAACCTGTTTACCATCGAACCTTGCTTTGCCATCAAAACTGACTCTTTACCACCAAACCTGATTGTTTACCATCAAACGTGACTGTTTACCATCAAACGTGACTGTTTACCATGGAAGGTGGCTTTACCACCAAACCTGCTTACGATCGAATCTGGCTTTACCATCAAAACTGACTCTTTATCATCAAACCTGTTTACCATCAAACCTGGCTTTACCATCAAAACCGACGACTCTTTGCCGAAAGAAACTATGACTCTTTGTCTTCAAACTGGACTTTATCGATACTATCGAAACTTAGAATTTATTGTTGAAACTTTTACCGTCAAGGCAAAATCCATCTGTTTTAATTCCATTTTCTTAATATACCGTCACTTGTCTGAAGTCTCAGTTGTCTGGTTTTGTCTCCCTAAAGTGGCTAGCTAAAGACAAATTCATACTGTGATTTTAATTTTGATTATTAAATGCTGTCAAACTGTGATGCACTTCATAGTCACTGGTCCTGCATCAGGAGACCAGTGAGTGGGAACCTCTGTGAAATACAGTTCATCTGACTAATCTGTCTGGTCTAATGAATCGACTTGAGGAGAAGAGATCTGAGTTGTTCCCCCACTTGCCTTATATTTGACTGAAGCTCATGGAAGGCAACGGGCAAAATCCCTCCTTAATTTAGGGTGGGAAAGCAGCTCTTAATGGAGTAACATTCATAGCAACACAGCTATGAGTGTTCAGCCTTACAAAAACAACCGATTTTGCAGCTGAGGAGTTTTCTCTCTGAAAAATTCAACCTGTCAATTTAAATCAGTGTGCTTAAAGGTAGGCAAAGAGGCCTTTTACTTACAAGAGCAGTTGCAAAATCAGATCTTAACTAAATCAGCACGCACCTCCCATGTATTCCTGGTAAATGAGGAGCTATGCAACAGTAGAGTTTCACACTTTATTTTAGAGAAAGTCTCCAGGCTGAAGCAACAGGTCCTCCTGATAAATGACAGCGTTACTATTGCAGTGGATTTACATCAAACATCACATTTTTAACAATGATCGATACAGAGTATGTCATGCAAATCACTTGTGTACACCAAGTAATACTTCAATCAGTCCCTATCTGTGCAGCATTTACATTTTCTATTCAAACTGTAGCTAGAAACATTTTACAAGAAAATACAGAAAAGGAATTTGTAAGCCAAAAGTCTTAGTTTGTAGGATTTGGTCTACAAGAGACCTAGCTTTTCCAGCCAGCATATCTACATAGGTATGTACTACATCTTAAAAATACGCATTGTTTTCAAACACTAGAAAGCACTATAAATGCTGCTCAGTTGACAGAGGTTCTGTTTTGTACCAGTTTAAACCGGTTCAAAATGTGAAGCAACGTAAAGCTTATTTTGTCAGAATAGTGTCAGTTTTAAGTCAGTCCGGCTGAGCTGAAGTTTCCCGTGCATTTCTCTGCCTGCACTGCACTGGCACCGTGGCTGATGGAAGCAGCCACACAGTTCAGATGCTGAGTGAAGCCACCTGCCTGGCTCTGGCTGGCCCCTGCAGCTGCAAAGGGCAGCACTGAAAACCAGGAGCAGAAGAACTGCACGCGTTTCAGTGCAAGAGGAAGGGAGAAGTTTGTCGTCCCCAGAGGGCTTTTCCTCAGCACGGCCAACCTCTAACAGGTGCTGCTTTAGGCCACTGAGCCGCCAGTCTGTCTGAGTAGCTACCCCTGGACTTAAAGCCCAATAGTAAAAGGGAAAAAAAAAGGTTGAGAGTTTTTTTCTTTGCCCGCATGGGTAGTACCTACTTGCCTGATATTTTCACAAGCCACTTTGTTTTACTGGCCTTGTGAACAGTGGAAAGTTTGGGCCAGTTTCACTCCCTCTTAATCCTCTTACAAAGAACATTCGGAATGAAATATCATCACACACAAGAACATTGTTCCGTTAGCTTTGGTAAATTAAAAGAGATTCACTGAGCACCACAAATAGCTGATTAGGATGTCGCATCTTTTTAATGCTAAGAAATACTACATTTCCTGCTACAATAGCCTTAGTTATACGTTACTCTCAATAGTTATTCCTGCCGGATAGAAGAACTTCATCTAAATACAGCAAATTAACTCCCAAGGCATTTCCTTCATGCTTCTGGGCAGGCATCCTCACCCGGTTAAATAAACAGATTTTCAGAAGGGAAGAACTGATACAAAAGTGCTTCATGGCTTATGAATGCTTTTGTAATCTCACATTTCTCCGGGAATACTTTATTGGCTGCTTTTCACACCCTTGCACTTCTTGGTACCACTGATTCATCAATGTCAGTAGTGTTTTGTCATACATTCTGCAGCCTGTAGAGTTCACATTCATATCAGTCTGCAAAAAAAAAAAAAAAAAGTCATTGCAATACTGAAAATGTTCATCAGAAAATGCATTTTAATACATACTTAGTCGTCATTTAAATTCTGTACAGGATTGCATAATAAAATGTCACAAAACTCTTGGGATATTTACACCTTAGGAGAAGAGAATGTACATGAAGAGAGGACATTGTACCTGTAGCTTAAAAACTACTAATTCATAAGGTTGAGGTTTGTGTTTTTTGTAGCAATGCATATTTGGCTAGAATGTTGCTTCTTTCACTCTTCAGGTCATGAAAAAGGCTTCTGTATGATGTGTACATTGGAAGCTCACATTAACCAGGTCCTGTGTTGCTCTAACAATGCTATCAAACCTACATCTGTTATCAATGGCCTTAAAAGTAAGTCATTTCAGATGGTTTTCTTTTCATACATTTGGTAACTTTTCAAAGCACTATTTCAGGCATAGAAGTGATTTTGATACTTTTAGAAACGTGAGTTTTCTTTCATTTTCTAGGAGATAAATATAACCACCTTCTTATTTATTAGGAATAGGAAAGCATTTCCATTACGGCAGTCAAGAGGATGCACATGAATTCTTGTCCTTCACTGTTGATGCTTTGCAGAAAGCTTGCTTGAATGGAAGCACCAAGTAAGCATAAACAAATTATTTAACCCTTAGATGTTCTCTAGCCCCTTTTCCTCCTTTCTTTACTATACTACATTAAAATGACTGTCCTTGGTAAAAACTGTTTGAAGAGTTAAATCTGAGCCTTGCATCATCCGAGGTCTGATTTATCATTTCTTTCCAGGTTGGACATATCTTCTCAAGCCACCACACTTATTTATCAAATATTTGGAGGATACCTAAGATCCCGAGGTACTTGTTCAAAATCTTCCTGTCCTTTGAACTGGTCTGTGTCTGTTTGTCTGTAGTAAAGGACTTTGTGCTTTGACTGAAATAATATGTATGAAGACTTTAAATTTGTCCAGTCAGTGTTAAGCATTTGTATTTTGATTCCAGTAAAATGCTTGAACTGCAAAGCCGTTTCTGATACGTATGAACCATTCCTTGATATTACTTTGGATATAAAGGTAAGATGTTTTGTGAATATGGGTCGAGCTGTATGAAGACCTGTAAAGCTTTCCAAATGAAGGCATTTTACTTAAAAATATACACTGCTAAAAGGAAAGAGCTTGGTGTTGAGTGGGGGTGGATTGGGCTTTGGTCTTGTGTGGAATGCATCTAGATGCTCTCCATGTTTGCAGTGGGTTTAACCTGTAAAAACAGTAATCACATCTACACAAACACCTATATTCTCACATTTCTCGATTATTCTGCTTCAGCATCTATACATCCATCGTTAGGCTGATGGGTTTGCTTGTTCTCATTATTGATGCCGTAGCATAGTACAGATGGTGTCTGTGGCACTGCAAACTTTATCTTTTATTTCAAAGTAGCATCGTTTCCACAGGAGGTAAATGCTCGGCGTACTCTGAGGTTTCTGCCTCCTTCACAGTGGTTGCCGGTTGACAGTAGGTCACTTGAGGATGAACTAGCAAGGTTCTCTCGTAGTTATACCAGGAATTGTTTGAAATTTTGCATTTCCAGTGACTTAGTGCTCTACCTTCTTATTCATCCAGACCGTTACGTCTATCACTAAGGCTCTAGAACAATTTGTGAAACCTGAACAACTGGACGGAGAAAACAGCTATAAGTGTAGCAAGTAAGATTCCTACTAATTCCATCTGAGTCCAAGAGAAGGCATTTAATGTGTCACATGAATATTTGGAAATAGAAGAATTGTGGCCATTAGCTCATATTAGACTTTTATTCCTACTGCTGCCTGCGCTGGGGTTTATTAGCCTTCGTCAGTGTGAGGTTGCACACAGAAATATTCGTCTGGCCAGAAGTTAAAGGGGATGTCTGCTAAGTAGTGGTGAGCTGAAGCACGGAGCTAAGGACAACGATTTGGGGTGGGAGGCAACATCAGCTGGCTGAAGGTCCTAGTGTTCTGTGTTAAAGGATTATGTTGTAAGCCCTTTGTTTTGTAGAGCTGTCCGCTTACATGCTGTTACCTTCTGTCTATTAACAAATGTGAAGTGCAGCATATGGGTTCATAAGCCTGTGCGAGAGATGAAAACTTGTTTGAGTTTTGGGAGGGTGAGGAATTTTGCTGTTAAACATTTGTCTGTGCTTATTTTTAAGGTGTAAAAACATGGTTCCTGCCTCCAAGAGGTACACAATACATCGCTCCTCCAAAGTTCTTACAATATCACTGAAAAGATTTGCAAATTTTACTGGTGGCAAGATCAACAAGGTATATTTGCAGCTGTAAAGCAGCTTTATCTTCTTGGAATGGGAGATTTCCCCAAGAAAATATCATTTAAAACTTGTTAATATTTGCAGGCTGTAACCATTGACTAATAACAATAGTCTAAGAAAAGTCAATCTAACAACTATGGCTTACGGTAACCATAAGAGTATACCTCACTCTTACAGCTAATTCTGCAGAAAACAGTTCTCTGCAGCTCCAACTATGAAATATTGTTTCTGAGAATAGGTATTTTTAAATGAATCAAGACTATATTTGTGTGATCCTAGCCTGTGTTTTGAGAAGGGTTTTTGTTAGGCTGTTCCTTGAAGTGTTTCAGGATAATTTTTGAATCTTCCTGTTCTGTGTTTAGGATGTGAAATACCCTGAATATTTGGATCTTCGAGCGTATATGTCCCAATCAATGGGAGAACCACTCATCTACGCTTTATATGCAGTTCTTGTTCATTCTGGTTTCAACTGCAATGCAGGACACTATATCTGCTTCATAAAGGTGGGTATCAGCTTGATTTCTAACAGGGTAAAATAAACAAAGAAAATCAATGTTACCGGCAACCACCATTTTGATGGAGAAAGGTTGAATGATGTGTTCCGTTTGATTTGTTTGGTACGTTTCGTGCTGTAGTGTTCCGCCTGTGATGTCATTTGGACATCATGCATTTTGTCTGAAGACGCCACTGTCTTTTGTTTGCAGGCCGGCAATGGATTTTGGTATCGAATGAATGATGCCATAGTGGAGCGTTCTGATATCAAAACGGTTCTCAATCAGCAAGCTTATTTACTTTTTTATATCAGGTAATACCGACTACTGAATCTGTTCAGAATATATTTACTTTCCTGTTACTGATACTTTTCTTTTTTTCCAAGTGTTTTTCTTTCTGTCCTAGGAAAAGTTTACTGTTTCTGTAATTCAGTTCTGTCTAACCTGAACTTACCGCTGTCATTTACTGTCTTTCATTGCTTGGCCTTAAACTGGTGTGCTTGTGTACATTGCTCTGTATCCGCTCTATGTAGCGGGGTAATTTAGAAGAGGAGAAATAACACCATAGTAAGGGTGAGATGTTGCTCTGACAAGAATAGTCATTGTAGGGAGACCATTGTCTGTCTTTTTTAGTTTGTAGTCTTGGTTGAGTCCTTTGTATGTGGCTTCTGTGTCACATCATCTGTTCTTATAAAATTATAGATGGGGTTTTAATCCAAGAATAGATTGAAAGAAAAACTCTAAAGTGATATCACTGTTTTTTTTCCAAGGCGCTACGATCTGACACTTGGAGAACGTGGTTTTTACTTACCAGCAACTTCTTATCCCCGTTCATTCCTTGGTCAGCGGGGGCCTAATAGTAAGCAGGCTGGATTTATGGGACCACGGCTTCCTCCTCATATGATTAAGGTAATTTGCAGGGAGCAAATAATGGCACCAAATTGATAATGTTGCTTTCTTTTGATGTGGTTTGGGAGCTTGTAGTTTTAGAGCATCTGAATTTTATTTTCCCTCCCACACTGCAGCTTTCTTCACAACCATCATGCAACAGATCACTCTTTTTCAGTGTTAGTTTAGCTGAGATAGTGAAAACGATTTTTCTTGGTCCTGGATACAAGACCAATTATTGCAGTGTTTTCAGGGAACGTTTAAAGGGGAAAATAAACATATTTGGGAAGCGCTTTAGTGAATGTTAAGTTCTTTGAGTTGGTTTCAGAAAATGAGGCTCATTTGATACCAAGATGCAGTAAACCAAAAGCAGCAGGAATGAAACACACTTGTTGGACTTAGGTTTATATTGGAAGTGGCGTGTTTTTCTTCTTAGGTGGTGAGGCAATTTGTAGAAATATTTAGTAGGAGAATTTAATGTTTTAATAAGTGCGGTGTGATTGCACATATTCATCTTGCAATCTTTTCTTTTTAAATACAGAATTCAAGTCGCTTAAATGGAAATGGACCCCTAAAAGAGGATACAAATCCTGTTGGTATCACCATAAAAAGGCCATCTTCAGCTCCATCAACAGCTTGCATTCAAAACTGGGCAATTACCAGGCCTTCAACTACGGATCCATCAAAAGCCCAGAAGATCACTATCAGTATTCGTAACAAATTGCCTGAGTGTCAGACTGTGTCACAACCTGACTGTCTTACCAGTGCTCTGGAGAATGAGGATCTCAGCAAGGCTGTTCCTTCCTCCACAATTACAAATTCTCTCAGAGCAGAGTCTACCTCAAATGCATCTACAGTGGCAGTTACTGCTAACATTTCCAAACAGGAAGTTCCTGATGAAATGTTTGTAGAGCCAGCAGTGAATGGAAGTCCTACGCTCGGGTCTGATGCTACAGTCGCTTCCAGTCCAGAGTCTTCAGGAAAATCTAAGGCGTCGAATGGCGTGTTTAAAATGAATTGCAACATATCTTCCAACGGAATTGTAATAGGGAAGGTAGTCGGCACATTGCAGAATTCCCGTTCTTTCTGTGAGAGTGCTGAAGAAGAGAGATCCCATCATGTGCTGCCAAAAAACGATTCACTATATGAGGCTATTAGTTTAGATAATGGATCTAAACAAAATGGACTGAAACTTGATGATTTTACTTGCCAAGTCCAACATGCTAAACCTTCTGAGATATTCTTTGCCAAAACAAATGGATTGCTTGAACCAGTGAGTTGTTTGTTCCATCTAGAACTCCTCACCTATGGTGTGTTTACTATTCAAGAGCATTAAAATGTTCCTAAGTCATGTGAAACACTGTGAAAACAGACAGCACAAATTTAAACTTCATCGTTAACACTTTGTGCTGTTGTCGCATTAGAATTTGCAGAGCTGAACTGGCATGTGAGAACATGTCAACTTCAGAAAATTTCACCTGAGATAGTACTTCATAAGTTTCATAAATATACTGGGGGGGAAGGGGTGATGTGTGAAATAGCAATGGTGCATGTAAGGCAAAGTGATCTTGTTTAATAACTAATGAGGAAATTTTGAAAACAGTTTTCTTCTATAGGTAGTATTTTTTTTGTCTGTTAACGTCTGCGTTTTAATTGTAGATACCTGTAGCTGAGTCGCCGATTCCTCAAGAAATAATCTTAGAATCCCTGGCCTACAGCCACCTGAACAGGTTGTCAGAGAAAACAAGGTAAATTGAGTACACTCTGATGAAAACAAGATTTCATACAAGTTTATCATTGTTTTACCCATCAACTAGTACTATTTAATAGAAAGCTTTACACAGTACAGCAAATTCCACACTGTACGTGTAGGGTTGCAGACGTCAGCACTGAACATGTGTTATTCTGATATTAATTAAAGCAGATGCCTCCCAGAATGGTTCTGTTTCTTCATAGGATAATTTTACTTTTTTTTAAAATTGGATTTCTTTTCCAATGTAAATTCCCACCTCGTGCCCTCCCATTTTGTGGAGAGAGGGAAATGAATGAGTTGACTTTTTTCTAGTTTGGGGAGAGCGAAGGTAGTGGTTTTGGCTACTGATACGATGCAGAGCAGTGAGCAGAGGGAGACAAATGTGTTTGGTGTGGGTTTTAATGTACTACTTGCAAGCTCAAGAGAAGAAAAACATCTTCTCCATCTTCTCTGGGCACTGCTGAATGTGTAAGAGTCGGTTTCTAAAGGGACTGCCTTACAGAGTCCCTTTAGAAAGCTACAGTTTCCAAACTGTGTAAGGGAGTTTAGAAACATACAGAGTTTACCAGTAGCCACCAAATCTTTTACTTCAAGGGATTTTTGCTCCTAACATTTATCTTTTAGGGGAACTTTTTCAAGTGAAAAATGTGTTTTTGTTTTGTGCAGTGTCCCTGCACCTCAGAAGTCTGAGGGTGATCATCTTATGGAAACCGTAGTGACGGAAACAGTGTTTGTCTATGAACAATCCAGGATGCCTCTTTCCGACCTTGGCTGTGAGATTGAAAGTACTTTTACTGTATCAGACTCTGAAACCACTGAAACCATTGCTACCGAAGACGTTGCTGAAAGTGTTATAACAAATGCTGATAATGTACATCCCAGTATCAACGGTCAGCACAAGGTCAGGAAAAAATCCTTGGATACTGAAGATGAATACCTTGGGCATTGTGAGTCTGAAGAAAGTAGAGACAAAGACAAACCAGGAAGACCAAACGAACCTGTACTCTTTGCAAAAGGAGATCCTTCGTATATGAAAGGGTCTCCCGAGAGTGAAGAGAAATTATGGCAAACTTCCTCTGTGAAGTCTGACATTGAATGTAGTCCTAAAAAACTTGCATGTCTAGGTGTTACAGATAAATGCCAAGATACAAAGGACATTTCTAATAACTACGTAGAGGTACCACCTGTTAATGACTCTTCTATTACAAAGCTGGATAAAGTTCTGGAGAGTCAATTCTCCAGACAAAATGAGGGGGTGAATAATAAAAAATGCGAAGAGGATAATAGGCAAAAATACGAGGAGAAGATACATGACTCCAAAAAAACTGACAAAGAGCACTACCGAAAGAAGAGACAATACTCTGACAGTAAAGACCAGAAGCAAAGCAGGAGCAAAGCGGATGATCGTTCCTACAAAAGGAGGCGCTCTCGCAGCATGGAAACAAATAAGCAATATCATCATAAGCAGGATTATTGCAATAAAGGCAAGTACAGACCTTCCTATAATGAAAGAAACAGTCCAAATAATGGCAAAAGCTCAGGAAAATACTCTCGTTATAAATCCCGCAGCAGAGAAAGAACGGAACAAGACAGGAATAGGTATTACCATTCCAAAGGAGAGAGGACTTGGAACAGGGAAAGATACTACCAAGATGAATTACGGAGATGGGAAAAATGCAGATATTACAAGGATTATTACTCTGTTCATGGAACAGGAGATGGTAGAGAGAGGAAGTCGTCTCATTTTGATAAAGCCTTTGACAAATTGAGTCAATTCTACAAATCACATAGGGATTATCACTGCAAGAGCAGATGGGCTCACAACACTCACTCCAGAGAGGAAGGAGCCCATCACTTGAGTAGCCACAGAGAGAACTTCCGTCATTGTTCACTACCTCTGCAGCAGTCTGAAAAACACTCTCGGGAAGGGCACGCACCTCCACCTGCCTCAGCTCATGCACAATTTGACAACTCTTTCTGGGAAAATGAGAAACTGAGGCTTGGCAAGAAGAAATATGGCGACGCAGAAGGAAGCGAAGCTGAAGTGGAAAAGAAACGCCGCAAGATTGATGACCAAAGAATGAAAAAAGATAAGAAGGTCAAGAAGAAAAAGAAGTCCAAAGATAAATATCGAGAGAAGGATTACAAGTAAGCAGGAATTCCAGCATAATCCGCCATTCTTTTCCTAACTCTTTTCTGAATGTTTCCCATGCCTGCCTTTTTCCCATTGTTTATAAGTGATTTTTGTAGGATAATCTGACTACAGGTTGGTCATTAGGCTGGTCATTAGGTTGGTCAAGCAAACATAGGAAGGATGTTGCTGAATAGCGTTAGAACGCTAGATCTCGAGCAGAAAGTTAAGAACCTCTTGTGGTTTAAACCCAGTGTGCTGAACCCAGGACAGAACCACATCTGCGCACTGTTCCTGATTAGGTTGCAACAATTATATATTTTTAATTCCACATATTCCACAATTAGCCCCTGTAAGGATTTGTGTACAAACCAAGACTTACTGTCATTCAGTCTGAAGGCTAATGTTTGTTGCATCTAAAGTCAGATGTGCAGAAATTACTACAAAATAACTGACACACAGCAAGCCATCACCTGTGATAAAATAAGTAACATTCCACACATGCATCAAATGCTGCATCCGTTTTCCTATTTTTAACCTGCATGTTTCCCTCAGACTTCAGGATTTGGATGGCCTTGTGTTCCGCATTGACAATGACAATCGCAAACGGAAGAAAAAGAAGAAAAAGAAGAAACATATCAGGAAACTGAAAGACTTCTCAGAATATTTAGATTCTCGTCTCGAGAAGACGACGCAGGAGAAGAAGAGAGTGCCCATTTTTTCAGGCAACTATTTATGTGAGCAATACAGAGGCCAGGGCAGTGAAAAAACATACAAGGACAGGAAGCCTTCTGGGGCAGGTGACAACAAGAAATACGGCTTCATCCCATCCAGTAAGTATGTGAACGGTAAAAAGCCACAGGGTGTTTGCAGGACTCCTTTTTACTCACAAAGACACTTGTTACAGTTGGAACAACCCTTAAATGCTTTTATACAGTAGTGCAAGTGGTAGATGATGACATGAGACTTCCGGTCTAGTAATATTGTAGTAAAGCACCATCTTCCCCAAAAAGACTTCCAGGGTAATTGATTTAAATAAAATACTATGTTCAGCTGTTTCACCACATAGATACGGAGCTGACTGCTTATTCAGATGAACGTCAGTTGATGATAATACTGAACTATGCTTCCAGATATAGCTCAGTCTTCTCCTAAACGCAGTTGTTAACCTCCCAGAGGAAGCTTGCAACTTAAGACCTGGAGAGTATGTTAAATGCCTGCCACTGGTTTATTTCCTTCTGGTTGTTTTTCGTTAGCATAGGCTTAAAAATACAGAGAAGTGGGCTGAGGGAGAGCTGTTTTGCAATCGGAAACAATTCATCTACTCTAGGACTGTTTTGGCTTTAGTGAATGCTCCTGCCAGCAGGTGGCCAACTCTGGTTATTTCTAAACCAGTCAAAAGTATAGGAAGAAATTAAATGCCTTGCACCCCACTACACAGGTCAGGGGCATTACGATTAGTGCGCTATCTGTGTAGGTGTAAGAGATGTTAACCGATAAACACAGTGATAGAACCCCACTTTGATCCACTGCTTGCAACACAAGTGGAATATGAGGAGGGCAGTGAAAAGCAGAATTTCAGTATTTCCTCAAGTCCATAGATGTTAACAGACTTCCTCTTGTGGAAGGTCCGTCTTTAAAAATATTAAATAAATGGGTCCCAAGTAGGAATTTCTGGATAATGGAATCTCTCTCAAAAAAGGCCACCACAGCAGTGTGTTTTTAAAGAGCCTGGAACCTCTCAAACAGGCTAGGGACAGACAACAGCTGAGAAGGAATTGTTAGGTTGTGCCTTTTCACCAGGACTCCCCAGTAAATTAATAAGGATGGAAAGGGCTTGTGACAGGGTTTGACATTGAACATCATGACAGGGAGTGACATTGCTTTCTTTTGTCTTTCAGATGCAAAGCTCACTGATGGAATCCTTCAATACCCAACCTAATCCTACCAACAAAATCAACTACTTCTCACCCTCAGTCCCGACTTTTTACCTTCAACATCATCAACCCTTTACCTTCAAAAACGATGACTCTTTACATGGAACTCGACATTACCAATATTGACCATCAAAACTTAGAATTTATTATTGAAACATTTACCATCAAGACAAAATCCAATCATAAGTGGTGCTTAACATTTCTGTACAGAATTTTACCATGAAAGACTTTTTTTTAGTTTTTAACTTGAGACTTTGTTTTTTAAGATAATCCAAAAGGGTGGAAACTTTTTACAACTGCTGAACATTGTAAACTACCACATTATGTTCTCACACGTGTGAGATAAGGCCCTGGAATAGACCATCTCAAATGCTGCTTATTACAGGCTCAGGTTGACTTTATGTTATTCATGTAATGTTACTCCAAGTTAGACACCTGGTGCAAGAGCAACCAGGGATTACAAAAATTGCAACTGACAGTCTGTATATTTAATTTAAAGACTTATTTAATATTTCTCAAGTAGAATTTTTTTGCAAGAGCTTCATTTTCTTTCCTGTTCTGTCGGACACTAGGATCTAATGTACTTCATATACGAGTTATATTCAAGATCTGGAAGAAAATCATCTGGTTCTCAGCATTGTGAAACAACAGATATGCAGTTTTGAATGTATTTCTCAAGATGATTTGTAATACTCTTCCGTATGTTTTTATTACATTTTCTTAATATACTGTCACTTGTCTGAAGTCTCAGTTGTCTGGTTTTGTCTCTCTAAAGTGGCTAGCTAAAGACAAATTCATACTGTGATTTTAATTTTTGTTATTAAATGCTATCAAACTGTGATGCACTTATTCACTGGTCCTGCATCAGGAGATGAGTGGGGAACCTGTATTAAATACAGTTCATCTGAATAATCTGTCTGGTTTATACAAGCTGTGTTGTTCAGAGATGTCTAAAGTTTGATCTTTGTTTTTTTAAAGATAAAAAGCACTTGCCCCACTGTAAATATATAGCATGTAAAATTTATATAGTATATAAATACAGCAAAGTTAAAATGGATTTTTACTTGAGTTTTACTGGAGTTATTTAACATGCAATATGTCATGTGAACTGACAGCTTTCAGAGTGTATTTGATGCTCAAGAAATTAGATCTTCCTTTCAGTGGTAGGGGAGATGATGCTGTCGCTGTGACCCAGAGAAGATCAGTAACTTGGGATTTCATCTGCCTAAACAAGAATGCAGAAGGCTTTCTTTCTCCTTTGGTGTTAAAAGCTTCCACCACCAGGCAGCAAGCTGGGAGCTCATCAGTAGCTTTTTACTGTGTGTGACACTAAATCAAAATCCAAAGGAGAAAGGTTAATGTTTCAGTAAATACTTGAAGAAATATTTTGGTACATGGAAAACCCCATAAAGCCAATCTATAAGTGTACCCTGCATAATGTTCCTATGGCAACAGTTCTGTGAAGTTACATAAAGTAACATGACAAAGAAACCACACACTGTTCATGTATCTGGCTTTTTCTTCCTCTTTTGTCCTCTGGCTCCCTGATTTGGTGTCTTGTCTTTGATGAATAACCCTGTCATAGGTGTATAAAAGGAGTTTCAGCATTGACTGCTTGTCATGGTTTAAGCCCAGCCAGTAATTCAGAGCCACGCAGCCACTCGCTCACTCTCCCCTTTCTTCCACCCTGCTCCCAGAGGGATGGCGAGGAGTATCAAGAGAATGTAAATCCCACAGGTTGAGATAAGAACAGTCCAGTAACTAAGGTACAATACAAACCCACTACTGCTACCACCAATAGTAATAATTATGAGGGAAGTAACACGGGAGGGAATATACAACTAAAAGGGGAGACGAAAGAACAAACCAATAAGCACAAAGTCATGCTCAATACAATTGCTCAGCACCCACCAACCGATACCCAGCCAGACCTCAGCAGCTATCTGGGCCTTCCAGGTATCTCTCCCCAGTTCATATACTAGGCATAACATGCTGTGGTATGGCATATCCCTTTGGCTAGTTCGGGTCAGGTGTCCTTTCCCTGCTTCCTCCTGGTTTCCCATGCCCCTCCTCACTGGCAGAGCATGAAACTGGAAAGTCCTTGATCAGCATAAGCATTACTTAGGAACAACTAAAATATCGGTGTGTTACAGCACTGTTAGACTAAAGTGGAAAACAGCACTGCACAGCTGAACCCATGACAGTATCCACCCATGGAATATCCATGACATTTAGGTCATGCTCAGATCCCTTTTTTTTTCACTATACCATTGCTTTTTGTCTCATATATTTACACACACACACAGAGATACCATTCCTTAGTCCATGGACCATCCCTATAAAGTTTGCTGAATTCACTCAGTCCACGATGTCAGGCTCCATCTCTTGCAACAGCCTCTCAGGGCAGGAGAGACAGTGTGTTGGGATGGGTTGTTGCCTGTTGACGACACCGCTGAACTCATCTGGTCACTGCTGAGCTTGTCTGGTTTCATCAAAGTTCATTCTTTGTTGGGATGATGTTCGGAGGGAAGTCAAGGTCAGTCGATGCTGACCTGAGGACGGTTCTATTGCTGCTTTTGGCTTTCTTATGACTTTATTCTCCACTGACGTTCACGACAGCACGTATCTTCTTTTCAAAGCCCACAGTGGTAGAGATGGGCATCTGGCTGATGGGCTATAGAAGCGTTGTATAGCAGGCAACGTCATATGAGTTCATTGACTGTTTTCCCCCCAGATTAAACCCCTTTGAGGTACACACTGGACTTCCCCATGTTCCCACATTACCCACCAAGTACATCCAGGCACCTGAGCAAAAGCAATCCCATGAGTGGGTTTGCCTTGAAGCAGGAATAACCCAGACTGTCTTCACCAACAAATTCTTTATGTGCACCACAGGAACTTTATCCCCCTCTACAATATGTAAAAGTTCTGACTGTGCTGGGCCAGCCCTGTTGGCAGATCCTCTGGTGCTGACCAACCAGGTGGCTTTTGGTAAATGCGTATCCCAGCATTTGAAAGTCCCACCACCCATTGCTCTCAGTGTAGTTTTTAACAGTCCATCAGACCGTTGAATTTTCCCAGAGGCTGGTGCATGGTAGGGGATGTGATATACCCACTCAATGCCATGCTCTTTGGTCCAAGTGTCTATAAGGTTGTTCCAGAAATGAGTCCCATTGTCTGACTCGGTTCTCTCTGGGGTGCCATGTCACCACAAGACTTGTTTCTCAAGGCCCAGGGTAGTGTTCTGGGCAGTGGCGTGGGGCACAGCGTATGTTTCCAGCCATCCCGTGGTTGCTTCCACCATGGCAAGCACATGGCACTTGCCTTGCCAGGGTGGTGGGAGTGTGATACAGTCAATGTGCCAGGCCTTCCCGTATTTGTACTTCAGCCATTGTCCTCCATACCAGAAAGGCTTCATCCTCTTGGCTTGCTTAATTGCAGCATGTTTCACATTCATGAATAACCTGGGCAATAGTGTCTATTGTTAAACCCACCCCTCAATCATGAGCCCACCTTTCTGTTGCATCTCTGCCTTGATGGCCTGAGGTGCCTTGCTGGGCCTCAGGCCCAGCAAGCTAAAAATAATTCACCCTTATGTTGTCAATCTGAGTCCATCTGAACCACTTCAATCTTAGCCACTTTATCCACTTGTTGGTTGTTCTGGTATTCCTCAGTGGCTCGACTCTTGGGTACATGGGCATCTCCATGGCGTACCTTCACCACCAGATTCTGCACCCGGGCAGCGATGTCTTGCCACAGTGCAGCAGCCCAGATGGGTTTACCTCTGCACTGCCAGTTCCTCTGCTTCCATTGCTGCACCTCCCCCACAGGGCATTTGCCACCATCCATGAGTCAGTATAGAGATAAAGTACTGGCCACTTTTCTCTTTCAGCAATGTCCAGGGCCAGCTGGATGGCTTTCACCTTGGCAAACTGACTCAATTCACCCTCTCCTTCAGCAGTTTCTGCAGCTTGTCATAAGGGACTCCATACAGCTGCCTTCCATCTCCGATGCTTTCCCTCAATACGGCAGGACCCATCAGTAAACAAGGAATATTGCTTCTCACTGTCTGACAGTTGATTATATGGTGGGACCTCTTCAGCACGCATAACCTGCTCCTCTGGTGACATTCCAAAATCTTTGCCCTCTGGCCAGTCCATGACGACTTCTAGAATTCCTGGATGACTGGGATTTCCTGTTGGAGTTTGTTGTGTAATTAGAGCAGCCCACTTACTCCATGTAGCATTGGCTGCATGATGTGTAGAGGAGACCCTGCCTTTGAACATCCATCCCAGCACAGGTAACAGGCGTGCCAGGAGGAGCTGTGCTTCAGTGCCAATCACTTCTGAAGCAGCTCAAACCCCTTCATAGGCTGCCAGTATCTCTTTTTCAGTGGGAATATAGATGGCCTCAGATCCTCTGTATCCCTGATTCCAAAAGCTGAGGGGTCAACCTCGAGTTTCCCCTGGAGTCTTCTGCCAGAGGCTCCGGGCAGGACCATTCTCCCTGGCTATGGTGTACAGTACATTTTTCACATCTGGCCCGGTCCAGACTGGTCCAAGGGCCACTGCATGAACTATCTCACGTTTAATTTGCTCAAAGGCTTGTTGTTGCACAGGGCCCCATTTAAAATCATTCTTCTGGGTCATGTGATAGAGAGGGCTTACAATCGAACTGTGATTTGGGATGTGCATTCACCAGAACCACACAGCGCCCAAGAAAGGTTTGTGTTTCTTTCTTATTAGTTGGTGGAGACATTGCTGTTATCATGTTGATCGCATCTGTGGGGATCTGGTGACATCCATCATGGCATTTTATTCCCAAAAATTGAATCTTCTCTGCAGGTCCCTTGACCTTACTCCATTTTATGGCAAAACCAGCTTTCAGCAGGATCTGGATAATTTTCCTCCCTTTCTCAAAGACCTCTTCTGCTGTATCGCCCCACACGATAATGCCATCAATTTATTGCAGGTGTTCTGGAGCTTGCCCCTGTTCCAGTGCAGTCTGGATCAGTCCATGGCAGATGGTAGGGCTGTGTTTCCACCCCTGGGGCAGTCGGTTCCAACTGTACTGGACGCCCTTCCAAGTAAAAGCGAACTGTGGCCTGCACTCCACTGCCAAAGGAATTGAGAAAAATGCATTGGCAATATCAGTTGTGACATACCACTTGACTGCCTTTGACTCCAGTTCATATTGGAGTTCCAGCATGTCCGGTACGGCAGCACTCAGTGATGCTGCGACTTCGTTCAGGCCACGATAGTCTACTATTAGTCTCCACTCTCCATTAGACTTTCACACTGGACATATAAGGCTATTAAAGGGTGAGCGTGTCCTACAGATCACTCCTTGGCTCTCCAGTCTATGGATCAGCTTATGGATGGGAATCAGGGAGTCTCAGTTGGTGTGATATTGCCACCGGTGCACTGTTGTGGTCACGACTGGCACTTGTTGTTTGACCTCCATCAACCCCACAACAGAAGGATCCTCTGAGAGACCAGGCAAGGTGGACAGCTGCTTAATTTCCTCCGTCTCCAGGGCAACGACACCAAAGCCCATCAGTACCCTTTTGGATCTCTGAAGTACCCTCTTCTGAGCTAGTCTATGCCAAGGATGCGCGGAGGCTCTGGACCAGTCACAATAGGGTGCTTTTGCCACTCCTTCCCAGTTAGGCTGATTTCAGGCTCCAGTACAGTCAACTCTTGGGATCCTCCTGTCACTGTAGAAATACAAATGGGTTCCACCCCTTGAGAGCTTGGTGGCATCAGGGTGCACTGGGAACCGGTGTCTACTAAAGCCTTATACTCCTGTGGGACTGATGCGCCAGGCCACCTGATCCACACAGTCCAGTAAACCTGACTGTCCCTCTCCTCCATCTGGCTGGAGGCAGGGCTCCTCTAATAGTGATCATAAGATTCTCCACTTACTTCTTGTAGAAAAGGATTACAATTCCTTATCATAGAATATGGAATAAAATCAGCTCTTCCACCCCATCTGGGAAGCTGCTCACTGAACACTGGAGCAGCAACTTTCTTGGGAGGATCATCCTTGACCATTGTTTTTCTCTTCAATTCATGGACTTGTTCCTCCAGAACTGAGGTAGGTTTTCCATCCCACTTTCTCAGGTCTTCTGAATGATCCCACAGGTAAAACCATAGGGTGGCCCACAGCATGTACTCCCTATATCCCTTCTCAGGCACTGTAAATGTAGGGTTGCAGATGTCAGCGCCGAGCATGTATTATTCTGATATTAATTAAAGGCAGATGCCTCCCAGAATGGTTCTCTTTCTTCATAGAATTATTTTCCTTTTTTTTTTACGATCGGAAATCTTTTTCTATTTTTTTTTTTTCCATCCTAGGATGTGTGAATGTAAATTCCCACCTCGTGCCCTCCCATTTTGTGGAGAGAGGGAAATGAATGAGTTGACTTTTTTCTAGTTTGGGGAGAGCGAAGGTAGTGGTTTTGGCTACTGATGCGATGCAGAGCAGTGAGCAGAGGGAGACAAACGTGTTGGGTGTGGGTTTTAATGTACTACTTGCAAGCTCAAGAGAAGAAAAACATCTTCTCCATCTTCCATCTTCTCTGGGCACTGCTGAATGTGTAAGAGTCGGTTTCTAAAGAGACTGCCTTACAGAGTCCCTTTAGAAAGCTACAGTTTCCAAACAGTGTAAGGGAGTTTAGAAACATACAGAGTTTACCAGTAGCCACCAAATCTTTTACTTCAAGGGATTTTTGCTCCTAACATTTATCTTTTAGGTGAACTTTTTCAAATGAAAAATGTGGTTTTTGTTTTGTGCAGTGTCCCTGCACCTCAGAGGTCTGAGGGTGATCGTCTGATGGAAACCGTAGTGACGGAAAATAATAACTATGCAGAAGTACCGCCTGTTAATGACTCTTCTCTTACAAAGCTGGATAAAGTTCTGGAGAGTCAATTCTCTAGACAAAATGAGGGGTTGAATAATAAAAAATGCGAAGAGGATAACGGGCAAAAATACGAGGAGAAGATACACGACTCCAAGAAAACTGACAAAGAGCACTGCCGAAAGAAGAGACAATACTCTGACATTGACGAGGAGAAGCAAAGCAGGAGCAAAGTGGATGATTGTTCCTGCAAAAGGAGGTGCTCTCACAGAATGGAAACAAATAAGCAATATCATCCTAAGCAGGACTACTGCAATGAAGGCAAGTACAGACCTTCCCATAATGAAAGAAACAGTCCAAATAATGGCAAAAGCTGAGGAAAATACTCTCGTTACAGATCCTGAAGCAGAGAAAGAACGGAACAAGACAGGAATCAGTATTATCATTCCAAAGGAGAGAGAACCTGGAGCATGGAGATGGGAAAAATGCAGATATTACAAGCCTTATGACTCTGTCCATAGAAAAGGAGATGGTAGAGAGAGGAAGTCCTCTCATTTTGATAAAGCCTTTGACAAATTGAGTCAATTCTACAAATCACATAGGCATTATCACTGCAAGAGCAGATGGGCTCACAACACTCACTGCAGAGAGGAAGGATGGCATCACTTGAGCAGCCACAGCGGAAACTTCCGTCATTGTTCACTACCTCTGCAGCAGTCTGAAAAACACTCTCGGGAAGGGCACGCACCTCCACCTGCCTCAGCTCATGCACAATTTGACAACTCTTTCTGGGAAAATGAGAAACTGAGGCTTGGCAAGAGGAAATATGGCAATGCAGAAGGAAGAGAAGGTGAAGTGGAAAAGAAATGCCGCAAGATAGATGATAAATACCAAGTGAAGGATTACAAGCAAGCAGGGATTCCAGCATAATCCGCCATTCTTTTCCTAACACTTTTCTGAATGTTTCTCATGCCTGCCTTTTTCCCATTTCTAAGTGATTTATATAGGATAATCTGACTACGTGTTGGTCATTACGCTGGTCATTAGGTTGGTCAAGCAAACATAGGAGGCATGTTGCTGAATAGCATTAGAATGCTAGATCTGGAGCACAAAGCGAAGAACCTGTCGTGGTTTAAGCCCAGCCTGCTGAACCAAGGACAGAACCACATCTGCGCAATGTTCTTAATTAGGTTACCTTAGATTAGCCACCTTCTCGAGTCTGTCGGATCCTGTAGTCACAGAGCACCAACAAAACCAACTACTTCTTACCATCAAAACTGAGTCTTTACCATCAATCCTGATGGTTTACCATCGAACCTGGCTGTTTACCATCAAGAATGACTCTTTACCATCAAACCTGTCTACCATTGAATGTTGCTTTGCCATCAAAACTGACTCTTTACCACCAAACCTGATAGTTTACCATCAAACGTGACTGTTTACCATGGAAGGTGGCTTTACCACCAAACCTGCTTACGATCGAATCTGGCTTTACCATCAAAACTGACTCTTTACCATCAAACCTGTTTACCATCAAACCTGGCTTTACCATCAAAACCGACGACTCTTTGCCGAAAAAAACTATGACTCTTTATCTTCAAACTGGACTTTATCGATACTATCGAAACTTAGAATTTATTATTGAAACATTTACCGTCAAGGCAAAATCCATCTGTTTTAATTCCATTTTCTTAATATACCGTCACTTGTCTGAAGTCTCAGTTGTCTGGTTTTGTCTCCCTAAAGTGGCTAGCTAAAGACAAATTCATACTGCGATTTTAATTTTGATTATTAAATGCTGTCAAACTGTGATGCACTTCATAGTCACTGGTCCTGCATCAGGAGACCAGTGAGTGGGAACCTCTGTGAAATACAGTTCATCTGACTAATCTGTCTGGTCTAATGAATCGACTTGAGGAGAAGAGATCTGAGTTGTTCCCCCACTTGCCTTATATTTGACTGAAGCTCATGGAAGGCATGAGCTTATCTCGCGACCCCACAGAAGCAGACCCTCGGACCGCGGTGAAACACCGGGCACACGCCCCTGGGGAGGAAAGCGAGACCCCTGGGGGGTCACAAACTCCGGCCCCTGGGCGGAGAGACGCAGACCCCGGGGCCGCTCTCGCCGCTCCGTACAACTCGCGGTCCCCGATCTCGGGGTCGCCAGTAGTGGCAGGAAGCGTTGCTGGGCGCCGACAGCGGGGAATGAGAGCTTCGAGTGCCTCTCTACTTCGTGTACCGAACTGGCTTCCAGTTAAGATCTTCCTTAACTGGAGTAACTCCGAGTTTCCCAGCTTGGCAGCTGGATTCTTTTTTATGACAGTAAACGAGTTGCAGAAACAGTAAATATTTTTTGAAATCTGATTTTCTTGCAGTTGTTAACGACGGAATTGCCCCGCCACGTAAAATTCTTTTTCCACCTGAGAAAACCTGCATGCATTGCCAACAGCCACTGAACGTTGGAGCTGGACTGCAGAACCTGGGCAATACGTGTTACCTTAATGCTACTCTGCAGTGTGTAACTTCCGCGCCTCCTCTGGCCAATTACGTGCTTTCACTGGAACACAAGAAGTCACTGACACAGACCCCGACCCCGGGGCGGACAGAGCAGCAGACCCCGCAGCTGACAAACTCGGACCCCAGTTCGGAGGGACACAGACCCCGGCGCCGCTGTCGCTGCTCCGTGCTACTCGCGGAATCAGTCTGCTTTTCCTTGTCAAAAGAACCAGGTGTCTGCTTTTCCTTATCAATGGTTAGTGCCTTTGTTCTGCTTAGTAGGCATGATAGCTGCAGACAATACTTTTGTTTAAGCAAGCAAATTTCTCTAACCCCCCTCTACACCCCCCCTGTACACCCCCCCTGTACATTGGTTACCCCTGTATCAATCCCCCCTTTTTCTATAAAATGAGTAAATTCTTTTACTATATTATTTATAACAGAGCTATCCATGTTTCTTCTATCGATTTATAAAATGATTTTGATATACTTTGTATTATGCAAGGTTCAGTCATTAAAATGAGTAGTCCTATAGTTAAGATTAGAAGGCCTTGTTTAAGTATTTCCCTGAACCATCCAGTAACTCCTAGGTTATTTAGCCATTCATCCATTCTACCTCCAACAATTCTAAGCTCTTGCACATTTTCCTGCAATTTTCGCAGCTTAGCATGAATTGATTCAGAATGGTTAGATAAGTTCATGCAGCACATACTTTCGAAATCCCCACAACCATCCTGTAACAACATCTTTGTTACCTCCCAGGCTTGTGCGTTTCTAGTTGGAAAGGTTTCCGGCCAACCTGAAAAGGTGTCTGATAGCACCAACAGATGTCTATACCCCCTTTTTCTGTCCTTTTGCAAATTCTCTTGCAACATTTTATGTAGTGCCATTACCATCCATAGTGTTTTTGAAATAGTTTCCCGTTTCTACTTGATACTTAAATTTCATTTCTTTTTTCAATCTTCATCATTTATCATAGATCGTTTACAATTTCAGGAAGAACATTTTGTTATACCACAAGTAATCAATATTAAAACAATTAATAGTAATATTCCTGCAACCAGTTGCCTTAACCAGAAGAGATCAGGTAACCATGAAGTTAACTTTTTCCATATTTCCTCTACGGTTGCTGAGATATTTATGATTGCCTCACAAAACATCTCACAAAATGCAGTATTCTGTTCAGCAATAGGGTTAAACCCTCTCTTAACCAATACCATCCTTTCCCTTCAGGAACCAAGCTACCACTGAACCACGATACCATCTATACAATTTGAAGAGTGACCTACACCTGTGGCATTTAAACAAACATAGTCTCCTATTCTGGTTAACTATTCCAAATCTTAAAATTGCAGTGTTGGAAATTGGAATGCCAATTAATGGAAGGCCCTGGTCTTCTCCCGATTCAGGCAACTGTGCACACACCAAACAGTCACTACAATTAACAACTTTAGTAGCATTCTGCATTAATTTCAGGTATAAGTATTAGTCCCAAGCTGGTATGTCAGTTATCACATAAATCCAAATCACGACTGATATAATTTCATATGCGAGGGTCCTGAAGGTTTGATCCGCCACGTCTTCTATGGTTCTATATTCTTGCAAGCAGGTTGTTTCTTTATCTTCCCTGCTGTAAAGGTGGTCAATATTATCTGGTACGGTCCGCTCCACTTCTCCTGTAGAGGATCTCCTGAAAAATTCTTAACATAAACCCAGTCTCTGGATCTAAAAGGGTGAGTCGAATAATCCATGCCTCTCACTCTTGTCCTCAGTATTCTCTTACTTCTTCTAATTGCTTTCCCAGATTGACCAGAAATTTTAGGAGAAAGTCTTCTGGAAGTCGGAGAAGGTTTTCTCCTTTAAACTGGGACTGATACGGTCTTCCATATAAAATTTTACATGGGATAGCCTCTTCTTTCGACCGAGGTTTAGTTCAAATTCTTAATAGAGCCAGTGGTAAGGCTTGGTATTAATATTTTACTAATCTGTTGTTTGATCATCTTTTCTACTTGCCCACTGGCCTGAGGCCTGTAAGGAACATGTAGTTGCCTGATTTTTGCTAATTTCTTGTAACTCTTTTGCACTAAAGGGTGAGCCTCGGTCGGAAGAAATTGCCTCTGGTACTCCGAAACAAGGTATTATAGTGTTTAACAATGTTCCAATTACTTGTCTTGCATTATTTATTCTACAAGGGAATGCTTCTGGCCACCCTGAAAAAGTATTCATTAACACCAACAAATATTGGTCTCGGTAATTCAGAAAAATTTATTTGCCAGTGTTGTCCCAGATAAATTCCTCCCGAGTTGTACCAATTTGATTTCTATTTTCAATTTTAGGATTATTCTTGAGACAGAGCTGACATTGTCACTAATTGAACTGTGTTATATAGATTCCTTCCTGCAATTTGGTCATCTAAGTATTTATACAGAGTTGCTACCCCAATGAATTGTTATCTTTCTCCTGAACTAGCTTCCAGAGTTGCTTATAGGGGATTACAGTTCACCCATCAGGTATCTGAACCCAATCTTCTTTGTTTTCCTCTCCTTTAGGATCTCCGATTTTCTGTCCTCCTTTGAATATCTAGGTTTAGATTTCTCAATTGTTAGTTTGCCGTCAGGGATTAAGGGAATGAGTTTAGATTGTTCAATTTCTCATTTGGCTTCAGAATCGGACAAACTTCACCTTGTTGATGCCCTCGACAATACATAATAGCTACCTCCTCAGGTAGCTGAACAGTCCCTCTCTACTTCATGTACCGAACTGGATTCCAGTTAAGAATTTCCTTAACTGGAATAACTCCGAGTTTACCTACTTGCCTGGTATTTTCACAAGCCACTTTGTTTTACTGGCCTTGTGGACAGTGGAAAGTTTGGGCCAGTTTCACTCCCTCTTATTCCTCTTACAAAGCACATTCGGAATGAAATATCATCGCACACAAGAACATTATTCTGTTAGCTTTGGTAAATTAAAAGAGATTGACTGAGCACCACAAATAGCTGATTAAGATGTCGCATTTTTTTAATGCTGAGAAATACTATATTTCCTGCTACAATAGCCTTAGTTATACGTTACTCTCAATAGTTATTCCTGCCGGATAGAAGAACTTCATCTAAATACAGCAAATTAACTCCCAAGGCATTTCCTTCATGCTTCTGGGCAGGCATCCTCACCCGGTTAAATAAACAGATTTTCAGAAGGGAAGAACTGATACAAAAGTGCTTCATGGCTTATGAATGCTTTTGTAACCTCACATTTCTCCAGAAATACTTTATTGGCTGCTTTTCACACCCTTGCACTTCTTGGTACCACTGATTCTGGCTTATTTGCATTACAGCTCTACTTGTACAGAGCTCAAACTGATGTACGCATTGCTCAAATACAAAACCTGAAGTTGCGGAACAGAAGACTCGAAACAGGTGAAGTGAGCAGCTCTG